ATTTTTGAATACTAAGCTAAAATGGGGGAAATTTGAGACAAGTGCGAGTACAAGCGCATTTTGGAATGCTTTAGAAGGACAAAAATGTTCGAGGCGCATAGTTCAAAATGATGCGCACGGAAACGAGAAACAGATATTTTTTCTCAGCCTTAAGCTTTTTTTTCCCAACTAATTTCACAACTGCACAGCAACCCTCTGTTGACAATTCGGTGAAACCTACAAAATTCGCACCCCTTCAAATATTTTAGCAGGGGGGGGGGGGGTCACCAACTGGCCAATTTTTGTAAAAAACAAGTTGACCAGAAACTTTCTTTGAAGGCCTAACAAGGGGATTCTTACTCAAAATGAAATGAAGTTGGATCAGCTTGTTTGCTACTGTAGAATACTTTATTTTCGCTTGGAATTTATTTTCGCTATTTTCGCTGAATGGATGATTCCGTGAAAATAAAATCCAGCGAATATACTTTTTTTCCTATATTTCACATTAAATTCATCAAAAATCAGTGAAAATAAGTTCCATACAAAACGCCCAAAAAGCCTTTTCAGCGAAAATTAATTCCAGCGAAAATAAAGTATTCCACAGTATTTGGGGAGCAGCCCCTCAAGAAAGAATAACGAAATTTGTCTGTAGGAAACTACTGAAGGCAAGTATACTGTAAATGTATTAATTTTTCACTGGCTTTTAATTGCACTGATAAGTAAAATCCACTAAATTAAATTTACGTTAACATGTATAGTAACAATTAAACTCATTATTTTCTTGACGAATTTGTGAAATTAAAACACAATGAATATGCTCAAAACATCAAAATAGTAAAAAAAAAAAAAATGGTTCTACAGTAAGGCAAATTTCATTTTTACAAATTACAACCTTTGTAAATACTCTTACGACATGATTTTCTGATGCACCATTGACATGCTTTAAGAATTGGTGCAATTAGTTGCCATGAAAAAAGTCTGTGTCTGTGATCCGTTGAATCGGTATAGAGGGCACGACACATTGTGCGGCCGTATCAGCATC